CATAGCAAACAACTCCCTGAAAAGTTTTATTCTCTTGTACCGACAGGGTTTTCTTGCGTACTTGAAGACTTGACTTCAGAAAGTTTACAAAACTATGTAATGTAGTAGGGTCTCCTTCAAAATCTGGTAATGGAAATTATAGCCTTTATTAAGGCACAGAACATTAAGTCAGCAATCAGAAGATCCTGCATGCACCACTTCTGGGTTTTCATCCTTCGCCCAGGGATGGACTACTTTCAAAGTTCAAAGAGCAGTGAAGTCCTTTTTCCCAAGTCAGTATACCAGCCTTTATGCCAAGTTTGCTATCAGTTGTGGTTTTGGAAGAGAATAGCATTTCTCTGCAATTATAACTGAGTCCACCAACTCCTTTTGCTCATTTATCAAGAAAAAGCAATAAAGGTAAAACCAAAACTAGAAGTCATGTCTGTCTTGTTACAGAGCTGCAACTACAAAGCCGTTGCTGGTATCTTTCAGTCATTACCATATCAGCTGGATATAAAAGGCTTTCTAATGAAGCACAACTCGATGCTTTTAGTTTAGAGACCGATTCTCCATTAGCTAAGCAATTTACCACTGCACTTTTTAAAGTGCAAATCTATAGCAATTCTCAAAATAAAGGCCTTTTCATGCAAGTAGATTTCTGTAAGCGGTGAAAAGAGGTAGAATAAACAGCATTTATCCAGGAGCAAAACTAACAATGCCTTCTTAAAAGGTATCTGTATAAAAAAGGGTGTAGACTGAGAGCAAGTAAGTATTTCTACCCTTTGGTATCCCAAAGAAGAAGTTCTGTAAGTAACTGCAGAAACATATACCAGTAAAAGTTATACAGAGGAAAGTAAGAATACCAAAATAAATGTTTTGTATAAAGAGCAGATCAAATATCCTTTACCTTTCTTCAGTCCTGAGAATGTGATTTCTTATTCACAGCTCTTTCTAGGGAGCAGATTAATGTTTGTTATACCAAGCTGATGGGATCTGGTCCTACTTCCTCATGAGATCTGAGAGACGCAGGAAAATAAGATCATTTTTGCTGATTTTTGCTCACATGGGTTTTTAAGATTCAAAGTGATAAGTTCAAAATGGCCATTAATCAAATAGATGTAAATAAACCTGTATTTGGGGAGAAAATACAACAGAATTCAGGTGTGTAACATTCATTTTGGAACTGTCTCATTAGGTAATATTCGCTGCTTAATCATGTTTAATCGTTGGAACATCTGCTTAAATGAATACAACATGACTAAAACCAAAATATGTCATTTTCAAAGGACTACTGGGTAGAATAAACCCAAAAGTTTAATCTGTTTTTTAAAAACATTGAACCTTTTGTTAGGCCTATGGTCCTTTGTCCTTAACACTGATTATGTGGTTCTACCTTTTTGCCATTTCTCACAGATATTTCATTTTGATTGCTGACATCACTAGAAACTTTGTTTCTTAAAGCTAGGCAACCTTATGGAAAAACGATAGGCCTTCTGTGAAGCTCTGTGATGGCCCTGCTACCCTGGCAGCACGGGCCAAGGCAGTGGGAAGGTGAGAGCACATGTCTGCCAGGCGAGCACATACGCTTTCACCTTCCCACTAGTTCGGCAGTGGGAAGGTGCTGACTTAGCAGCCTCGGTGCTGACTTAGGGGTGGGCTGTTTTTCAAAGATGAAGATGTTTACAGGGAAAGAATAGGCGCTGTTCACTCCACAGCTACCTGTTTCCTTCCTGCTTGGCACAACTTGTCACCTCCAGTAGTAGCCATGAGGGTCATGCCTGCACTTTGAATCTTAGCTGGGTTTGGCACATTTTTAATATTACAACTGCTTTAGAATCATAGAATGGGTTGGGTTGGAAAGGATCTTATGATCATCTAGCTCCAACCACCCCTGCCAGGGGCAGGGACACCTCACACTAGACCATGTCACTCAAGACTCCATCCAACCTGGCCTTGAACACTTTATCCGTATGAGCCTGGTTCTTAAGTAGGTGTTCAGTCCACTTCATCCATACTGTACTGATCTTATTAAATCTTTTCATTACATACAGGAACAGGGTCTTATTTTCAAAATGACGTGGCAGATGAAAGAAGAAGACCCAATAAGGGGCAGTGGCATCTTCTGAAATGTTAGATACAGCTGAAAGAAACTAACTGACTTCTATAAATTTTGTCATTCAAAATAAATATCCTAATCCTGTCTAGGCTGTATTTAGGGTCAAAAAAATGTAGAGTTATACCATTAAACAGTAGAGCACATGCAATCTAGATGGTCCAAATAGAGCATGTGTTTTGGACCGTGTCACTGTCATTCTTCTCATAAACCTTTCATCACTAGTGAGCACACTGCACAACAGATCTGTTTTGGTGGTTAAAACTAGCTATTTATATAACACGCCAGTGAAATTTCATACTGCTATCCTAATCTCAAGGGGTTTTCTTTCCTCATCTCTTCTGCTTAAGAGGATCTGATAACTTTTATCTTATTTCTACTGTAAAAACATGCAAACCATATATTTAAGTCCGAATCCCCTGGAGGGTATCATTTAGAAGGAATACTGTGCTATGATTGCGTCTCCCCTAGAACACTGTAAACTGCCTGGTGGTTTAATAGTTTGCTATTTGAGATGGAGATCTCAGTATTTGGGATTGCATCCACTAAGATCAGCTTCCACAGGTTTGTTTTGACACTTTTGTTTGCTTTGCAGCAATCTGCTGCTCCTCAGTGCTTTATGTCAAAATATTCACTAGCTTCCTATTAATATTTAGGTAAATCAAGTAATTCTGCTTTTTATTCTTTTACATTTACATTCTTGTTCAACCCCTCCCAAGCCCCTCTTTTCAGTGTTATTTCTCCAGATTGTAGATTTTGCTACCACTTCATAAAGTCTTGCAGATAAATTATTCTTTATTTTAACAATTGAAGTTCAAGTTTAATAATTTTACAGAATGTGATTAAGGTTAAGTCATGGCTTCTGCGTTTATGGGCGTTTCAGACATGCATCTTAAATACATGTTTCTTCATAATAATTTTTCTGTGTGCAGCAGCACAACTGAAATCTTGCTTTGGCCTTTGTGTTTCAGTATTAGAATTAAGCCTGTAAAAGAATTTAAAAGTATACCTATATTTTTAAAAGGATGTATCTGGTGCTGCCAGAAATTATGTAAGCCTGTTGATCATCTGAGTTTAGTTCTTGCTCTGACGTGGAAACTTCTCACTCTGGCTGGTGTCAGGACTCTTGCTCATATGGATTCAACCCTTCTTTCCTCCTGTTTCGTGACAGGTAACCTGGGCTCCCAGCTGGTTGAGTATAAAGAAGAAATGTATATAACGTCTGACTGTGGGAACACGTGGCGTCAGGTAGGAAACACAAACCATCAAAGGCACCTGGAAATAATTTTAATGTATCAAATGTGATGAATTTTATAATGCTTACTTAATGTTTTCATGCCCACTTTTTTGAGGGAGGTGGCTATTGTTATCTCCGTTTTGCTTGGAAACTGGGAGAGATATTTCATAGAATCATAGAATGGTTTGGGTTGGAAAGGACCTTAACACACTAAACTGTGTCACCCAAGGCTCTGTTCAACCTGGCCTTGAACACTGCCAGGGTTGGAGCATTCACAACTTCTTTGGGCATCCTATTCCAGTGCCCTCACTGTGAAGAACTTCTTCCTTAGATCTAATCTAAACTTCCCCTGTTGAAGTTTAAAGCCATTACCCCTTGTTCTACCACTAGAGTACCTAATGAAGAGTCCCTCCTCAGCATCCTTGTAGGCCCCCTTCAGATATTGGAAGGCTGCTATAAGGTCTCCACGCAGTCTTCTCTTCTCCAGGCTGAACAGCCCCGACTTCCTCAGCCTGTCGTCATACGGGAGGTGCTCCAGTCCTCTTATCATTCTCATGGCCCTCCTCTGGACTTGCTCCAACAGCTCCATGTCCTCTTTATGTTGAGGACAACAGAACTGGTGTACAAGAGCAGAGTAGAGGGGCAGGATCACCTCCTTTGACCTGCTTCTTCTGATGCAGCCCAGGACACGGTTGGCTTTCTGGGCTGCAAGCGCACACTGAAGCGGGCTCATGTCAAGCTTCTCATGCACCACCACCCCCAAGTCCTTCTCCGCAGCGCTGCTCTGAATCTCTTCTCCGCCCAGCCTGGAGCTGTGCCTGGGGTTGTGCCGACCCAGGTGTAGGACCTTGCACTTGGCTTGGTTAAACTTGATGAGGTTGGCATCAGCCCACCTCACAAGCGTGTCCAGGTCCCTCTGGATCCCATCCCTTCCCTCCAGCGTATCAACCGAGCCACACAGCTTGGTGTCGTTGGAAAACTTGCTGAGGGCGCACTCAATTCCATTGTCCATGTCACCGACAAAGATACTGAACAACTCAGGTCCCAACACCGATCCCTGAGGGACACCACTTGTTACTGGTCTCCAAGTGGACATTGAATCGCTGACCACAAGTCCTTGCGTGCGGCCAAAGACTCAAATTGGTTGGGCTTCAGATTCTGTTGAAATTCAAAAATTTTGGTCTCTTTAAAGACCTTATAAGTATTTTTCCTAAAAAAAACCCACCATAGGTTCTGCTTAGGTTTTTGATAATTTAAGTAATCTTCCTATGCTAATAATGAAGTGGACTTAGGCTAGATCTTACAGTACAAATATTCCAAGCTAAAAGACATGGTTTAGGTGTAAAGTCTGAAAACTGGTATTTAAGCTTAAACTTTGTTCTTCAGTGAACCTGAGAAAGTGAAAAAATAGATATACAAAAAGACCCAAAACTTTTGAATGTTCTGTAGTACGAGTTAAACAATTGTGGGACTACAAATACCAAAGTATGAAAAATAGAACAGTCGTGTAGTAGCTGTAATGCCATTTGAATTCTGGATGTCCTTTGCTTCCAATGCCTACTGTCAATTTAAGCACTGCACCTTTATTATGTATTTTTTCCTAAATTGCTCTGTTTCAGTGTAATGGTTTGACCCTGGCTGCATGCTGGGTTCCCAGCAAAGCTGCTCTATTGCTCCTTTCCTCAACTGGACAGGGGAAAGGAAATACAATGAAAAGCTTGTGGGTCAAGAAGGACAGGGAGAGATCACTCACCAGTTACCATCATGGGCAAAACAGACTCAACCTGGGGAAATTAATTTATTACCAGTCAAATCACAGTAGGATAATGAGAAATAAAATCAAATCTTAAAACAACTTCCCCCCACCCCTCCCTTCTTCCCAGGCTCAGCTTCACTCCTGATTTTCTCTACTTCCTCCAAACAGTGGTGCAGGGGAACAGGGAATAGAGGTTGTGGTCAATTCATCCCACATTGTAGCTGCTGCTCCTTCCTCTTCAGGGGAGGATTCTTCACAGTCTTCCCGTGCTCCACCGGAGGGTCCCTCCCACAGGAAGCAGTCCTTCATGAACCTCTCCAATGTGAGCCCTCCCCATAGGCTTCATGAACTGCTCCAGTGTGGGTTCCCTCATGGGGTGCAAACTTCAGGAACACATGGCTCCGGTGTGGGTCCCCTGCAGGGTCACAAGTTCTGCAGCAAACCTGCTCCAGTGTGGGCTCCTCTCCCCCCTGGGCCACAGGTCCTGCGAGGAGCCTGCTCCAGCATGGGCTTCCCAAAGGGTCACAGCCTCCTTTGGGCATCCCCCTGCTCTGGTTTGGGGTCTTCCATGGGCTGCAGGTGAGTACCTGCTCTCCATGGACCTCCATGGGCTGGAGGGGCACAGCCTGCCTCACCATGGGCTGCACCATGGGCTGCAAGGGAATCTCTGCTCCGGAACCTGGAGCACCTCCTCCCCTCCTTCTACACTGACCTTGGTGTCTGCAGGGCTGTTTCGCACGTATTCTCACTCCACTCTCCAGCTGCAGTTGCTCCTGTGTAATAACTTTTCTCCTTCTTAAATACATTATCCCAGAGATGCCACCACTGTCACTGGTGGGCTTGGCTTTGGCCAGCGGTGAGTTTGAGCTGGCTGCACTGGCTTTATTGGACATAGGGGAAGCTTCTAGCAGCTTCTCACAGAAGCCACCCCTGCAGTGCAAATCCATGCAAATCCAATACACTCAGCAATGCTTAATCACAGGGATATTTTCTTTCTTTGTGTATATAGCAGTAATGCACAATATGATCTGGAGTCTATTTATAATGTATATCCAGGAGAAAAAAAACAAAACACCCTCAAAGTGTGTCAAAAGTCATTTCATTTCAGTTAAAGTAGTGGTTTACTGTTCAGCTGAACTAAAATTAAGGTGTATTATTTTCTGAGAACAACTAAGTGTGAAAATGTTCCCACTAGCGTTACTGAGCTTGGGGAGTTTGAGGTTAAAAGAGGAAAATACAGACAGTTTCTTATGTTGCTGTCGTAGGGTGTGATTAATACTGCACAGAAGGACTTTTTGAAAGAAATATATTATTTTTGTCATGATAATGTCCTTTGTGGTTTGAAAGATAAAATTTTATGCCAAATTCCTTCTTGAAATCTAGCATATGATAAATAGGTGTTTAAATGAAAAAGCCTTCTAGGATTTACAGAGGGTACTGTGTTGTCTAATACTTCACAGAGGCCTCTCTAATAATTTATCGTCACCATTTGCCAAAGTTCTATAGTTTTTCTGGGGTGAAAAATAAGAATAAAAGAGTGAAAGGAATCAAATTCATAGTCTTGCTGCTTTTTATTTGTGAGACGCTTGGGCAAATGATATGTGATGAAACTTGACCTTAAGATGACTATTCATGCTGTAAAACAAACCATAAACTGATCCCTCATTATGACATTCAAAATGAAAAACACCATTGCTAGCTTTATTTTAATTAAAACTGCTATGAAGCCTTTGAAAGAGCTTACTCAATCTTAATATTTGTGATCAGAATGAAAATGTAGATTGTTGTATGTGTTTTACATCCTCACAGTTCATGATCAAACAGTTCTTCCAGAGGACAGTGGTACATTTCCTTTCTCTGTTGGAGTTCATGCAACAAAAGAGGAGGTTGATGATATGGAAATTATTTAGACAGTAAATTACAGGTCACATGAGCTGGGAAAAGCAGAGCAAAGCTCATGTTTTGGCACAAGTCTTCGTGTTGGTGCAAGTCATTGACTTGGAAACTGCAGTTGTCATTAGTGAGTGCCTGTCACCTTTCTCACATGCCACACATGATGTTGCAGGGCTGCCTACAGGCTAGAAAAGGAGCAGTCTGTGCTTGTATAGAGTGACAGAGCAATGCAGAAAAGTAAATATAAAATACTTTGGAGAAGAGGAAGTTCAAGGAATTGACTAAAAGCTTGCATAAAATAATAGCAGCATTGGTTCATAGGATTATAAGACTGGGAGGAAGGTCAAAGATCATGTGAGTCAACCGTGTGCTCTGAGAAAACATAAAACATACTAGGAACATCTCTAACAGAGGTTTGCCAGACCTGTTTGTTAATCCTTCACTGTAGGAGATTCTGCAGTCTGGCTACACAGTGTTTCACCATTCTGCATAGTTTTTTTCTTATATTTAACACGATGACCTCGTTCTTTCCTGTTGTTCTTGCAGTTTCACAAATTCTGAAAGATAAGTTGATTTCTTCTTGTCTTTAGAGTGGAGTGGCTTTCCCGTCAGCTTTGAATAATTTTTCAGATGTTGAAAGGTCATTATCATGTCTACCCAGAGTACAGGGGGTTTCCCCTTAGAAAAGGAACAAACTCAAATCCCCCAATTTTCCTAATGGATAAAATTTCTAAAAGTTCTTTCCCTTTTGTTGCTCATTGGTTGGACTATCTAATATGATGTCCCTCTCCTGAACCATGGTAAAACTGGTTGCAGAATTACAATTTTTAATGGTACTAACCAGAACGAAATGACTGCCCTTGATGTCTTGACATTACTGGTATCTCATTTCAGATTTCTCTTCCGTGCACTAGGATCACACTGTTGGCTAAGATTCAGTTTCTGATTCATTCAGTTACTGGGACCAGTCACTCAGTTCCTGAATTTGTATCACATTCTCAATTTAACAATGATCTACTGATCATTTTCCTTCTGTAATTTCTCAAGCAGGTGTATACACTTAAATGATTTCAACTGAACCTGTATTTCCATAGCTTGCATATGGTAAGGTCATATGAGAGTTCAGGAAGACTTAACCAGGATAGGACAGTGTTTACAGGTAGAAATAAAAATGTCCAAATGAGAGTTTTGAGAAATTGAGTAACTACTGGTGATAAGTGGAAAAGCGTGGGAAAATAACAGAAGATTGGCAAGATGCATTCAAGTGGCTTGCAGCTGGGGTGTCAAAAAACATATATATCATACTAATTGTGTGATATTGTGGCCTTGTGTGTTGGGCAAGTAGAACATCTGTGTTTAGATAACATAGGCCTGTGACAGACTGAGAGGCACCCTATCAAACATGCTTGGGATTCCTGTGTTGCTGTGGGAAAGATCAAAGCACAGTGGTAAATTACACCTGTGTGAATCCCTGAAAGTCAGGTGAAAACAGCAGGTACAGTGATCGTCTAGCATGGATCAAGCAATGCAGTGCCTGCTTGTGTGCTTCTGTCCGGGTGCCGCTTCAGGGATTGCCCCAGTTGGCGACGTAACAAAGACAGATCAACTCTTTGCTTGTCATCCATGGTTTTGTGGTTACTGCCTGTGCTGGCTCACAAAAAAAGTAAAAACAAGGATTGTGATTATAAGTAGCCATAATCCAACTTGGGCTGACTCTAGTTTTTTCTTCTGCCCTTCTGTTACATGATGCCTGAGGCGCTTGTTGGTATCTCTTGGAAACATCACTCCACTGCATGCCGTTTGAGGAAAACTGAGATTTTTGACTGCATATTGTACATACTGTGCGCTGTAAATAGCAGCAGTTTAGGAGCTGATTGGCAAGTAGTGATCTGGCTACTGTATGGATAGGAGAAGGGAATCTCACCTTGACATTATCATGAATCATTTAGGTTGGAAAAGAATCTAAATCTAGAATCATTTAGGTTGGAAAAGACATTTTAAGATCATCAAGTCCAACCATTAACCTAGCAATGCCAAGTGAACCACAAAGAAGTAGCCTAGGAAGTAGCCTCACTCATGGGACAGATATGTATCTTTTGAAGACTTCTCTGTCTATTATACCAGGAAAACAATATCATAAAATGCATTAATGAACATAATACTGAGATAGATAAATAGATCTTGTATCTGGGAAAAATGGGCTACCCTATGTACATGATTCCAGACCATACAGGTTTTAGACCTTTTTTTTTCCTCCTAAGGGGCCTGTTTTTTCAGTCTTGAGTTTTAAAATATTTATGCTACTTTGCCAAATGCTAAGGATGATCTTGTGTTTACATTGAGTGTGTTTTATTTATTCTTAGAAAAAAATATTTCTGTTCACAGTTATGGTTGCCATTGCGATGTCAACAGCATGTGCTAGAATGCTTTGCTTGAAATAGGGTAAAAAAGGAAAGAGAAAGGTCTGGCTTCCAAAAGAAATGGATTAAATAAAAGGAGAAAATCACCAAGAAAAACCCTTTCATATGTGATCTGCCTCCAAAGTAGCTAGTATAGCAACAAAATGATCAATTAAGCTAATAAGGTTTTACAGAAACGGTTATATGTCTAGGAACTAAATCTAGATCTCTGGTGCTTTAGTCCAATGCTTGGTTTGTTGGAATATCATTTTTCTGTGTCAAATTTCTTTGTATCAAAGCAGTTTGGAAAATATTTGTTTAAGCAAGAATACTTTCCTGCAGATATCTTAAGAGATGGGTGGTGACACTTTTACACACAACAGGAAAGACTGCAGCCCCAGCCTCTCACTATGGGGAGGTCCAACTGGCTAATTCTGTGTAGAAAAACTGCTTCCAGATTTGAATTTAGAATTGGATATCACTTGATGAGAAGAGCAAGTGACTTTGGGAATTTTTGGTTTCTTTTGAAACTTGTGTATATCAGATTAAAATTGTGTAGCCTACATTTCTCCAGCATCATTTAAATGTGTTTTCATTGATTTCATGGAATTCTCCTGATTACTCCCAACAGATATTCTGGCCTGAAATAGCTGCTGAAGTTGTTAGTACAGACACAGAAAAAAACCCCACTTAGAGCAGAGAGAGGAGAGGGAGAGAAAAGAAGTTGACATTATGATTATAAAGCACATACCATGCACAAAAAATCACAGAAATAACCCTGTAGAAATAGGTTATAAAAATCTAGTTCTGTAGAGGATGGCTACTAGTAAGGATCATAATAAATTTATTACCTGACTTTAGTTAGAGGAGAGACATTTATCAGAATTTGTGGCTGACTGCGAGCACACATATCTCATATTCCTGGGTTTGAACTTCAACTCTGACACTGGGATCACATCCACCTTAATCTTTTGCAAACTGTTTATCTTGGTTTTGTTTCCAGAAAGTAGAGATATATATTTACTTTTGTGCATGAAATAGTTCTTTTCAACGTACTGAAGATGAAAAGTTGCTTTCATAAGGAATTTCATACATTTTTGTTATAAAATGTTTGCAAGAAGAGCATGATATAAAGGTGGCATTAATGTGCCTGTAATGCGTCAGCTGGGCTTTATAGTGTGCTAAAGCTGGGGCACTAAAATGGTGCATGGGAAAACCTAATTTGGCTGAAGTGATGCAAATACCAGCTTCCTTTATCTTCAGTATGATGGTTAAGCATTTGGAGATTTCGTGTCCCAGCATATTCTGTTTCATTTTGATTTGAGCAAAAGTTCAAACAGAGTTTAGAGGAGGATCAAAACTCTGCTTGCTTATCTGACTCCAGCTGATCTCATCCTTTTGAAGTGCATCTAAAATTAATGTCTGTCCTTTACTGAATTCTCTTCTGAAATATGCAGCTGTGTGGAACAAGTAGATAGGACTGTAAATGCCTCATATCAGGGTTTTGCCTGTAAACTGGCAACATTTGAAAACTGATCAGACACTTGAAGCCCTAGGATTCCCATAAAATATGCTCTTATTAGATGAGAGGAAGATTGAATTCTCAAATTAAATGCTTGCTATTTTGAAGTAATTGTGAATGTGCTGTAAGGTACTTCCCCTCCCTCCAGTTCAGTCCTCTAAATGTAGCATTTAGTATTGCTAAAAAAAAGAAGCATTTAGTATTGTTAATATTTTTTGATTCACAAGGCAAAGTAAAACATTTGTGCTTTTCACCTTTGCTTTGTCAAAGCATGTAGGAGGCTGTGTATCTATTAACTGGTAAGTGTGTGTAGTAACTCCTGCTTTATCACCTGCTCTTACGTTAATTGAACTTTCACAGATTAACAACATGAGTGAAACCTGTCTTAAAACAGATCTCACGTGTAAAAAAAGGGAAGATATGTACCTGTTCACTTCTTTTAGTGCTGCTGATGACTTCCAGAAAGTGAATGAAAATAATTTAGGAAATTTGAATCCTTTATACAATTAAATCAATATTACAGTTATTTTGGTTCAGAACTCAGAGCAGCCTCTGTGTGAGATCACATAAAGTTTCAATTTAAACAAATCATTGATACTGGAAATGCAGAAAACATTCTTGCACCAATTCTGTAGAGTCTGGAGAGCATGTGAGAAAGTCACAGACAGCCGTACTTTTCCTATTTTTCTTAGAATTAGACTACAAAGCATTTTATTCTGCAAGATACATAGAATATGGCAAATAACAAAGTAAGGTGATAGGTCACTTGGTGATATATAACAGGAAGGAATGCAGAATGCATACTGTGAGAAATATAAGCTTGGGCTAAAATCACTTTAGACAGTTTAATCTGACTGTGATTTGAACCTGAACATTTTCTGATTCACCTGCTTACCTTTCTTTTCTTTTACAGCTGGGACAAATATAAGAGTTAAACTGACTTTTATGTCCTTTTTGATTTGAAGTGCAGACATTATAAAGCATATAAGTCTTTTAATCCTGGTTTGCTCATGCATTTTATTTCTGCTGTTTTGTACATTTGCTTAGCTGGCTTTTTTTTTGTTTAATGTGTAGGTCTTTGAAGAAGAGCACCACATCTTGTACCTGGACCATGGTGGAGTTATTGTGGCCATCAAAGACACCTCTATCCCTCTGAAAATACTCAAGTAATCCTACAGTCAATTAGAGTAGAGCTATTGTGTATTCAATACCTCAGGCAAAGTTCATAATTTAAGATGAGCATTTCAATGTTATCATGTATGAAACAAAGGTGGAGTGACCTTAATTTAACGTTCATTAAGTCAACAAAATATAAGTTGATGTTTTCTTAAAGATTACTTCGTGGTGCTGAAGGTCATTAATCACCATAAATTTTTCTTGCATCAGTGTAGGCATTTTTGCTTAAAAGGCTCTCTTGGAACTCTACAATACAAACGATGTTCAGCATGATTGTTATCTGCTGCTGGTTTGCACGAGCAATGTAGGGCAATGCTGCTCAACCTATGATTCATATTACAGTATGAATTTTGTCCATTCATACTGTAATAAAGCTTTGTCTCATCTAATGGCCACAGTAGTGAAGACTTGAAGAATAGCCCTGAGTTACTTTGTCAAGAGGAATATAATGTAGTCTTTGGAAGCCAAGGGAGAAAAGATTTATGCACACATGATGTGCAAGTAGCCCGGTTCATCTGAGATATTTTTGTGCAAATTAACTGTGGTATGCACAGATCCTGTCATACAGTGATAATGCAGCAAATAGCTTTCTTAACTTGTTTGGCATGAAGGATTTGCTGCAAAGCATTTTTTATAAAATATCATGTTTTAAACTGCATGATAGTGAAGCAAAACATGGTAACCTTATGTAATGGTGTACAAAACTATTGTCTTTGTCATAAAATCCCTAAAATATCTTCATCTCTTCTGACTAGGTTAATTTTTGTGTAATCATGTATTCACTAGGAGGACTTAGGCTATGTACTTGGTTAGCTAGCATAAAGCCATCATTAACTATCCAAAAGACCTGGAGGAGATGTACAGAAGAAAAGATACTTTGATTCATAGATTCTGGGTGCACAGAGAATTTACAGTATGTTTTGCTGATTCATCAGCATCTTTTGCAAATTTTGAAGCGGATGATAGCAGCTGTGAAGGGCCATCATCTTGGTGCCTGCAGTTACACGTGTTTTAGCAACTGGGCTATTTTGTCTCATGTTTCACTGACCTCTGCTTCACAGGTCTCTAGCTCAGAGACTACTAGAAAGAATGAAGTGTAAATTAACTTCTTGAACCTACAAGGCAGCAAAATAGTTTGTTGACAGACCTCAGGTTTTATGTGCCTGAGAATTTTCATTGTTGTGGCAAATTTATTATACACCTTCTAATAAAGATGGGAGCCCCTGGATATGTTTCTGAGAAAAGATCACATTAATATGATATACTGTCTAGGCATATTGTATTTTGGTGATCATAAATTCTGGGCTTTAGTAGTAGATTTTTTTTGTTTGAATAAATGAATTCTGTTATGTATAGTAATAGTTGTAAATGCAAACCATTTCTGCTTTTTTACAGGTTCAGCATAGATGAAGGCCAGACTTGGAGTACACATAACTTTACTAGCACGTCAGTCTTTGTAGATGGATTACTTAGTGAACCTGGAGATGAGACACTGGTCATGACGTAAGTTTCTGGTTTCATCTCCTTTTTTCAGGGTGCTCTCTGCTTGCGCGGTTGAGCATATTTTAAGCTGTGGGTGTTTGAGATGGTGCTTGAGTCACTGGCTTTTGCTTCTTACAGACACACAGACTCTTACACTGATGTCCAATCTTTTTTCTCTTCTCTACAGATTCTCAAACAGACTTCAAAAATGTTAAATATCTGTTGTCTTCATGGTGTACACAACTGTATTGTTGTCCTGGTAACTAGCATTGCAATACTTTGCATAACCAAACACTGATAACAACTACACGTTTTTATTCTGTGCAGTGACTGAGACAAACTCTGTGAATAGAGTTACAAATAACCAAATTCTGCAACTCAGGCCCCTGATTATCTAACCTCTTCCAAATGGCTGGGGACATCTGGGTCTGGGCTGCAGGTTTTGCTTCATCTGTAGGATAAATGCTAATATTTTAGAAGTGTCTGAGAGCGAAACACACTTGTCCAGTTAGGGAAAAAGTCAAAAAACATTACCTGCAGCAGGGAAGTGGGATGCACTCAGAGAGATGCCGATTGTTGTGTGTGCTCCTATCAGAACAGCTTGTGTGATCCTTAATGTTGGAGCAATCCTTTATGTTGGAGCTCAGTGTGTTCATGACATGCTTTGTGTTCTAAGAGTTACAAATAGAGCTGCCTTTGACATGTACCAGTAGCGTTTTCCTCAGGGAAAAAAAAAAAAATAACCCAGCATGAAGCTGTGTAAAGGATCCTCAGCAGAACGGAAATCCTACCAATGTACTTAAAAGCATTGCACCAAGTTTATAATGCTATGCTGCACAGAGGTGAATTTGGTCCTCCCTTTCACTCTTCCTTCCTTCCTCCTGCCTTTTCTTTCCTTTCCCTTTTTCCTTTTTACTTTTCCTCTTTTCCATTTATCCTCCACTTTTCCGTTTGTCCTCCATTATACACATATATACATACACTGAGAAGAAGAGTATTATCCCGCCATGCTCTCCTCTCAAGTACAGAGTTTTTATGGTATAATATATTCTATGCAGAGATACTCAAGCCTCTGAATGAAGGATTTCCATTAATTTCAGTAGAAGTAGAAGAACCAAAAGCTTATCCTAAACTATACTTATTGGCAGATAAAATTCATACTGGTTTGATGAATATATGCTTTGGGGTTTGTTTGTTTGTTGTTTTTTTTTTTTTTTTCTTATTAAGTATCATTAAAAGCAGTGATTTTGTGAAGATGTATTTAAATAACTGGGTGAATGGGTTAAAGAGCTCTTATAAAATGTGATTCTTTTTTGAAATCATCCATCTGAAATATATAAAACTGTATGTAGATTTTGTACATGAGCCTAGATTGACAAAAAAAGCATCCTCTGTCTTCTGCGTTTCTAAGGGCAGTCTGACTCTAGCATCTCAATGACAGCACTGTAGGAACTTACTTTGCATCCAATTCTACTGAATTTGGAGGATGTCATACACGTAGTGTCACAGACTGGCCCTGAAAGACTTGCAGCATTCCTATCAGACTATAAAGATAATGAGAGGAGTAAACCTGCAGTATGTGTTTCCATGTTGCATTGTGTCTTCCTTGTCTCTCCTACTGCCTTTGATTGTGTTTTACCTTCAGGGTGATGTTGTCAGCCTAATGGTGCTCTGTCTGACTTTAAATCAAGACCTTTTGTCATTCTGTCTGGCTTAGGTCATTTCCTCACAAAACTTCATGCTCGTACTGAGTTGCTGTGCATGACTTAATCTATAGTGATTTGCTGCTTTTCAGAAATGTCATCCACTGATACACTCCTGGGAAAAAAAAAATCAACTGTGCCATCTTTTCCATTTTATTAGCTAAAAAGTGTTACTTCTTCTGTGTAGAAGATGGTAAGATGAACTTGTGTACTGTAATGGAAATAAATTAGTGTCTTTCACCCTGAGGAATCTCTAAATCCATTACTAAGGACCTAGTCTGACATTTCTTACTTGTACAGGAATTTTGTTTTCTCCCTTTCACGTGGAGTTTGTTTGAATAAGAACTTTGAATAAAGAGTGCAATGTCAGAATCTGCATAAATTAGGAGAGAGAGCATAATCCTGAAGTGGGAAAGTAATAACTGAAAAAGCCTACAGCAAAATTATGGACCAGACACTATTGCATTTCAGGCTTCTAGAATAAACACACAGAAGAGTCAGAGAACATTTTAGTTGCACAGAAAGTGACTGTGACCATAGGGTAGAATCCTGGTTCCACTAAAATCAATTTAGGGTATTTAATTTGCATTTTTAAAAAAAATCTACAAAAAGATTATCTGGAAAAATGTTATGGGACCTAGTAACAACGAGTGTAAGAGAGACTTCCCATTCCCAGCATGGTGACTGGGACGTTGACCTGACTTGTTAGGCACTTCCGTTTGAATTCCTGTTCTATACTAACATCCGAAATGAAGTGGTCTGGTAAGCTTTGCTGAAGAAACAGGGGAATATGAAACTGGTTCCCTCAAGTCCTCATTTGAGAAAGTTTTGTGTTTTCTCCAGAATAGAGAAAAACAAATGTTGACTTGTAGGAAGTTTTCATGAAACTGGGTTGTCATCTGCCAGTCAACATTAATCTAAATCATTCATCCAAATCCCCTGCAGTATTCAATATGTGTACACTTAAATGCCAAGGAAAATGTATTTTATCCTGTTGTGCTCTGCAATAGACCTAGTTAACATTTTTAGGAGTTTTAAGCAGTAAAGTATTCAAAAACTTCAGGAAACTCATTCTGTGTAAGAATCAACTTCTAAACAGACCTAGTTAAAAGTGTTAGAAAAGATAAGCAATAAAGTATTCATAAAGTTTAGGAAACTTGATCTGTGTAAAAGTACATTTCTAAATGAAGAGATTCAATCCATCATTCATTGCTAAACGTAAGATTTGCTAAGAAATCTTCTCAACTAATTGATGCATATTCATCAAGTCATATATATTTTAAATGCATGGTCTAGCAGGCTTTATTTTCTCTAAATTCTTTACAAATGAAAGTTACTGCAACCTGTTGTTACACTTAACAGTATGTTATGTTTGAGAAAAATTACTTAATAATGCTGGATTGAGCAATGGCCTAACTCAGTGGAAAAAGGAAGAATTTTTCTGTGTCTGAAATATTGATGTTCCTCTTCAGAGGAAGTAGTTCATATAATGCAAGTTTCAAATCTGTTAAAATGACTTCTAAATCACATTTCAGGTTCTGGGAGTGTTTCCCAGTCTGGGTTGTTTAGATTGCAGTGTAAACCCACTAGGCACAATAAGCATGGTACGGCAGACTGTGGTCCCTTTTAAAAGGCCACTAAGAGGTTGCATAAAAGGACTGCTTTTCTTTTTGTCAAGTAAAATCAAAATCTTCCTGATGGGTAATCTTATTTTTTTCCAGAGGGATTTTTTTTCTGAGGTCTCATAGAGTAACAACTTAAGATGCTGCTGGGAACTTCATGACATCTCTGAACAGCATGTGCGTTTTTCTGTCTTGAAAGTCTGTTGTTGTGTTCCTGTTGCGTTCCTAGGTGATAATGGAAGCAAGGAAATAGTATTAAACTTACTCAAAACAGGATAGGATATGATATTAACAGGTGTTAGATATTAGGGAGAACCAGCTGGATTTTTGCAGCTGTAAATTCTGCTGTGAATGTCAACCTCACCTTTAACAACGTCAGTAAAAGTCAACATTACATGTAGTTTGTGGGGCTTATTGTTGTGCCACATGTGGCAGCACACTTTCCTGTTTGAATAATCTTACTAGGTGGAGGTAATTCTCAGTGTTGTGAATTCTTTACTTCAATCTTTTTCAGACTGCAACCCTTAAAAAGTGTAGATAGATGGTAGATAAGTGTAATTCTCTCACAATGCAAGAGAATAGCTGATTTGCCAAGGCAAATTCTAGGTTTTATTTGCAACTAGTTAATCTCTTGCTTGAGAAGCATTGCTCAGTTACAAAATGGTTGTTCTACTCTGCATGATGAGGAACATATCTGTTTGGAAATAGATGGAGGAAACATACAGAAAGACAGGAAGAAAATGGTGAAAAAAGCTTCAAAAAAGTAAACTCATTACTCCATTTCAGTCTAAACTAGGTACCTGCTAATCCAAATGTACAGATGCCTGTTTAGTGGCAACTACTTTTGCTGTCATCTCTGTGGACACAGATGTTAGCAAAGCAAGACAATGCCAAACTGTGGTCTTGAAGCCAAGACCATGGGACTGCCCCAATCTCTCCCTCTGCTTGAAAGAAGTTCAGGGGATAAAGCTTTGTTTATTTCATTTCTTTCCATAGTTTTCAAAACATACTCAGAAGCATGGGAAGATGATACTTTCATTGTCTTGCTAAAGCCTATATTTAGTACATCTTCAGGGCAGACCTGGAAACATATTTGAACATGAGGAACTGAAAGGTTAGGAATCTGTGTCCTGTAAGAATCTTTATTACCTTGTCCCTGTTTAAAAGAGAAGGACAGAAAAAGAGTGACATGTAACTTTTTCATTCAGATAGAGTCTTCGTGTCATCTTGAGCCCCTGTCACTGGGGCTCTACAGTGTGATGCTCTAAATTCGCTTTCAGTGAGACAGTTCCTTTTTAGCTTTAGTTCTAATAAATGATGTCAACCAGGCAAACATTAGAAACTTGAACCAACACTAAAATTGTTTAAACATTTTAGTTTTGGGTGGGGTCTTGAATTCCATTTTGCTGTATTTACTATATTGGTCTCAAAATGAAGGAGCCACAATTTAGATGAGCACAGACTAGTTACTCTGGCTTTGTCAGCTGAAGTCTGAATGAAGAATTTCCTACCTGTGACAAAAGAGACCTGATTTTTAAATATGTGAGTTGGGGGTTGCGAGGGAAGTGTTAGCTAAAGAATTAACTACAACATTTTGTTATTATCCCAAATTAACTTGGTTTTAAGTAAAATGATGGCAGAGAGCTGCATGAAACGAAGTTATCCTCTACAATACCATATGTTTCTCTTTAATCTA